TGCTGCTGTATGACAGAAGGCATGGACCACTATGTTTTACCTACAGTAAAATATGAAAGCACTAGGACAAAAATCCTAGATACTCAACTGGAAAATACAGAAAATGTGCCATATAATTACTTCACATCACGATTTCTATGCAACATTTGTGATTCAGTGTAAGTCATAGTAATAGACAGGATTTCATCTGAGTTAGAGCACGCTGAGGATGCAAGCAGGCAGAAGGAATTGAGAAGTATGGCCTTTCTCTCATGCATGAAATGACAGACAGAAAACTTCCTTTAGCTTCTTTGTTTTCACTAAATGGCAATGAGGCCAATGTCAGGTTTTCACTGTCATTGAAGCAAGGCAGATGCTTCTTGCTTTGGGTTCTGACCGGCATGAGTTACAATGATGTGTTGAGACATGCCTGCAGTGAAAGCCTCCTTCATCCAGTGAAAATTTTCTATGTGACTGCCAATGGGCAGGAAAGAAAAGAAAAAAGATGTGGAAGAACTAGCTACAAATTTCACCTTGAATCCCAGCTGCCTTGGGAGGGCAAGATAGGAGGTTAAGGCAATCACTTAAGATTATATCCTCACAGTTTTCTTTGGAAATAGCTGGAGGCTGTTAAAGTGTGAATGTGATGCAATCCTGCCTGTAGCATACAGACTCACTGCCCAGAAGCTATCATTGTTACTGAAGCTGTCCAGTGCCCCTTGGTACCCTTCTCAGCAGGGGAACAACACTCAAGCATTCAAGATTCTGCAGTTGGAGAGCTGGGAAGGCATGCTAAACCGTATCCTCAGTGGTTTGAGTCCCTTCAGAGATCTCTAGATTAAAGATCTGAGAGATGTAGCAGCATGTATAAAGGTTCTGGTGGATGAGTTTTATCTGTTCAAATGCAGTCTGGAAAACTCAGCAACTTTTTTGGTGTTTGGTGCTATTCAGATTTTACAGAATGGCTGCCCTAATTTCTGTTGATGACAAAGATGTATCATCACCTGCCCAGAGCTTAGTTCTGCAGTCTACTTAGGAAAATGTCTACCTATTCCTAGGAAATATTCTGCCCGTTAACTCCCACCTGGGATCAGTGATCAGCCAAAGGTCAGGTCTTTATCTCTCATCCCTGAAAGCAGACAGAAGTAACTGAGGCTGAACCAGAAGATTGTTCTCCTGATAAAAAGCAGGGCAGACCCTGAATCCCGAAAGGACATCTTCCTCAAAGGCTGGGACAAAAACAGTTTGTCATAGTTTCAGTAAATCACAATCCCAGCCTAAGATAATTTTGTCCAGATCCTCATGGGTCTGAGCCGAGGGAGTTACCAGAGAGCATAATGAGCTATGACTAAGATGCTGGCTCCCATTTCTATTAATAAAATAATATGTTTGTAATATCCAGCTACACAACTGAAAGCACTGTGCAAATCCATAGCTCTCAGAGCCCTCACCCTTCCTAGTACTGATGCTGACTGGAGAGTGTATGCATCGCACAGCACAGCTTATGGGCTTGGTCATGGTGAACTTCATTTGCTATATCAGAAGCGAAAATAGAAAACAGTGTGAAAAGAAGCTGAGCCTCTCAATCAGTTCATCAAACTGAGTGGAAATATCTGTGTGCTATACAAAAGATAATGACAGAAATTTGATTTTAACTCTCTTTGCTCATCCTGCCCAGGTACTCACGTGTGAAATTACCCAGGCGGAAGAGATATAAGTCAGTGCAGGAACCCCTATTGGCCTTATCTTAGGTGGGCTGTGCAGAATATGCTACAAACTGAATTAGTTCAGAAAACAGAGTAGTTCATCAGACTGTACAGACCCACTGATGTCAATAAGAAGGTGGTAGAAACAGCCTGCCTGGAGAGCATGGGGAGTGACAACAGAAATATGGAACTAAATGAATTTCACCTGATATGTACATTTTGTTCCTCTTCATCAGTGTAATTCTGAGGATATTACTTCTCTCTAATATTTAAAATTTGAATTCATAGACCTGAATTCTTGGGGTTTTTTTTTCAAAACGTGGATAATTTCTAGATGAGGTTAAGGGAAAAGGTAATTAATTCATTTCATGACAATTCTAAATTTTCATTAGTCCTATAACAAAAAATTCAATTTAAAGTCTTAAAAAGCACCGTTGGTTTCTGTAGGCTAGGGGCTGAGCTTCATATCGCCTACCAAGAGATTCACTCTGTGGCTGCTGTTGTCAAATACAGCTAGAACTGGCGCACTGCAGCTCTAGTAGTCTGCTCCTGTAGACTATTTCCAGTTCAATGGACCGTATAAAAAAGAATTTGCATTTTCATAACCATTGTAACAATGGTCGTGATCATTATCATGATAGCTGAGTGATAAACCAAAATTAGCAAATCACTGCATTTCTTTGTCTGTGTGGGCTTTTCTGCAGACTCACATCTGTCTCTTTTTGTCACTTTGAATATTGTTTTGCCCTAGTGTCAATGGTAACATGGATGTGGACATCTGTGACAGTCAGAACTACTTGTCTGCAAATTCCCTCTGCAGCAGGCAATGGTCAGTGCAGCATAGCTGTGATAACCGTGATTCCTCTATGCCCTTTCCCCAGGCTTTCCCTTTTAAATTCCTGACCTGTGTTCTCAAGCACGACTCTCTCTCTCAAGACCCAGGCATGAATTTACTGCTTTCTGAACAGCTTTTCTTTCTTTTTCCTTCTACCCTTACAGTCTTATCACTATTCAAGATGATGAAATCAAACACTCTTTGCTCCCCATCAAGAAGTTTCTTTTGCACCCACCTTCTCAGGTGGATTACTTTAAAGCATAAGAATATCAAGTGGAAATAGTAGAAGTGTTTTAGCGTAGTGGCTTGATTATATATGAAATACAAGTTTTGAATGGAGATATAATAAGAAGCAGAGGACAAGAACTAGTGGGAAGTCAATTTTGAAAAGTTTAATAATTCATTCTAGATTTAAAAATTTGTAAGCATTCAGATGCCTACATATTCATCTTCCTTATTTTAGACATCTTGTGATGCTTGACTCCCAGAATGCACAATTTTGATTCACTTCCAACAAAAATACTGTGTACAAACTAAATTTCAAATGACTTGTACACTTCATTCATAATTGTATCTAGCATTGTTGTAAGGTATTTCATTAAAAAATTAAAAAACCCAAACAGACAAACAAAAAAACACAACAAGCCACTACAGATATGTTTTGTTCTGCTCTTTTTTGACGTAAAAGATTTTGTGCATGGATAATAGAAAATCAGCATGATTTCACCATGTATTTAGTGTGGTCAACTAGACCTTACTGCAGCAGTGGTTTTCTGGCAGGGTTCTGCAGGAGCGAGCCGCCTGCTCCTGCAGCTAAGTTATCAGATGCCATTAGCTCTTCTGCTAAGCCTGACTGGCAAATACATTCAAGTACTGGGTCCCTAAAGAATGTCTCTTAGATAAATACAAGAAACATCCACTCACCTAGAATCAGTACAGGTTTTGATACACTGAACAAATCCTTGTTACAGATGTTATCTTGTTGCATTTGCCTAGGTTTTGCTTTGTTTGTTTATCTTCAAAGTGACAGGCACCTATTTGGTTGCTTACAGTAGGGTGTATGAGACCCTTTAGCTGATCCGAGATGAACAATTTCTACCCATGCTACTGTTTGAACAGCTTACAGTTATCCTGTTTAGCATGGAGGGAAGTGGGATTTGGAGGAGTGTACAAATTTGGATATTTTGAAAACGTCTTTTCTTAGAGGAAATATGATTTGTTGAAAGTGAGAAACAAGTCAGAAAAATGAAGCACAATATTATTCTTAAGCAGCTTTTTAGCCAAAGAAAGGAATTGCACACTTCCTGAGAGCCTGCAGTTTGATACTGCAGTTTTGTAGAGGATAGCAATTAAAACTGATCTTCCCTTTCTCAGTTTCTTAGGAATAGCTCTTTCTGCTGGTTTTGAATGCCTCTCTCTTGCTGTCTGTTAACAGTGAATCTCAGCAGGTCAAGATAAATAAGCCCTTCAAAATGTACATGTAGACATAGCAGTACAGTGTGCCTGTAAACCTTACCTTCAATAAGCTATGAAGATTTCAGCTAGAGGCCGAGGAAACAGCACAGTGAACAACAGTTTTTGTATTTGATGAACTAAGTCTGCATCCTCCCATCACACTGCGGGCTTCACTGCCATACTAATAGGAGGAAAATACCCGTTGATTTCAAGGGGCTTTGAGTCAATCTGACAGAGTATTGAGAAAACCCAGAGATCTCTCATATACCTACAGTATGTACTCCTGTATTAACCTTACTAGCAGCCCTTCTATGCCAGTGCTGCAGAGAGCTGCTAGAGAAAACAATTTAGCCTGAACCTTGTTTCCTAAGAAGCTAAAGATGGAATTGTTGTAGGACTTGCTATAGGATGCAGGTCTCTGCAGTAGCTGTGAATAGATACCAAAGACAAATGATTCACAGGCCTTTGTTTAGATTTCCCCTGGCTTTGTCCAAACCCTTTCTCCCAGGCTGGAGAGCTGCCACTGCGGGGAGGAGCTGCCATGGAAGGAATATTACCAGGCAAAAGAGCCCACTGGCAGGAAGCTCCAGAGAGGAATGAGAAGTATGGCCAGGAGGATGTATATATGTTAGCGCTGGAGCCATGAACTAAAGCAAAGTGAATTGGTTTTGGCTAGGCAGCTCCTAATGCAAGAAGAGCACATTTAGCTGCTGGAAGCCCCACAGATTCCTCACAGCAGGACACAAGGCAATCACAAATCTGGCTGGCAATCTGATTATACAGTGAAGCAAAGCCAACTGGCTGTCCAGGGTGAGAAATGCAGGCATAAGGTGGGAAAGAGGGACAGTGAGAAACTAGGGAACTAGTTCCTGGCTTGGGAGACTAGATGCAGTTGGCTTCTGAGTTTTGCTATGGCTTAGTCAAATCCACTGTTGCCAAGTGGTACACAAGTTCACGTACAAAGAGGAAATGCAGAGGAAAGTGCTGAGCGCAAAATTGAACTGAAAATGGGGAGAAAAACCAGCTGGAAAATGCTTTGAAATTATTGACTTGGGTTTGATTGCCACATGGGGGAGATCTAAGCCTGAACAGTACTTTCAGAGCAGTGTCATGGGGGGGAATTCTTCAGCAGAAGCAGGGTGAGGTTCCATACTGTCTTTCTGCCTGATGGGACAGCTGGATGGTTATTACATCAAATCATACTGCCAGATGACACGTGAAGACCTGGTGACATTCCTGGAAAAAAGCAATTAAGAGCTGATAAAAAGCAGAACTCTTCCTACCCTGCGATCATGACACAATTTAAACTTTCCCCATTATTATACTAGCTGTGGGAAACAGCCCCACATACAGATGTATCACCATGGGTTCTATATCCAATGTAACACCATGGGTTCTATGTCCAAAGCTTTCAAAGATACTGTGGATTCTGTAAAAAAGACAAATGTTTTTTGTAGGTTATTAAATGACAACAAATTAGCATCACTAAAAAGTTACCTTTTAAAGTAAAGTTTTAAGTAAAATTTGCTTTCTCCACCATGATTATTTCTTTAAATGTAAAAAGCAAAATTGCTAAAAGCTTCCAAGATAATACAGTCCACCCAGTCTATCCATTTTGTGCCATGCTAAAGTGATCCAGAAGAAATAAATTGGGCATCCATCAAAGCATAGTCATTTAGGATTGAAAAACAGACTTGCAGATACTTTCATGTAAAATAGTGAGGTACTTCATGAAGCAGCTAGTAACAGGTTGCAGCTGGTTGTTGATGTTCAAATACAGATCCCTGATAGTTGCAGAGTACAGACACGTTTTAAACTCCCACTGAATACAAATCAATTCTATATCCCTACCAACCTGTTGGTGATGCAATTTGTCCTTCATGGCTTCTCACACGCAGCATGGAAGAAGAAATAACTTTTAGTCTATGATCAGGAAACAAGTCAAATGGTCTTAAAGCCATTTATGTGTCCCCCATAGAAGGAACCCAGTATTGAAAGCTAATATACAATGGTCTGTGCTTTTGAAATCCTGCCTTTGCCTTTACTTTTATCTGCAAGAGCTAATGTACTGCCAGAAACGTTATTTGTGTTGTATTTTTAGTCCAGGCACAATGGGTCTGTACATGTCAGAAAATTTAGGCTGACCTCTGATCCAGTGAAGCTGTGTGCCAATATATGTGTACTTGAGCTTTTGGTTAACTGCCATCCATATATACTTTCAAATCTCTTGAGGTCAACCTACAGCATATTTCACAGCTGAAGTTCATCCTGTCCAAACTCACATTAAATCTTCTAGCATCTGCATTTTTTTACAAGCTAGAGAAGCTGCCTTTATGAAAACAGGTATTTTTTAAAGTATATAGGTTTTCAATGCTTGTTTAATTGTTTACTTAATTATATTTTTATATTACCAACAGCATGCTATGCTTCACAGATGTGGTTTAGCTGTGATCAACTTCAGATTTGTCTGCTACCTGTCAGACAACTGTAGATGATAGTATCCCACACTGGAGCTAGAGAAACTTGAAATCAGATAAATAGTTGGCAGAGAAGTAGTTTTGTCTAAAGCATGACAAAATTGGCTTTGGATCTGTGACCAGAATCCAGCTGTCCCAGGTCCCACCCACTTAGTATGCCTGGGCCATGGCAAGGCATTGATTATCTGTTGGTTATAGGAGACAGGAGAGTTGATGGGAGCAAAACACCTTTCAGAGAGACATTCCCATAAAAAGTCATCATTGCTGTGATAGGGGGTTTGTTCTGTGCAGTGCATTCCAAAACAAGAATCTGTGTGTACCTTTGCTTGTGGGCCTTCATGAGCTCAAGATGACTGGTGCTGTGTCTAATAACTCTATTCTTATTTCTGCTTAGTTTTCAGGACTTTACTTGTTGTCATTCTTCACCATCCTTGTTGGGCTGGTGCTCTACTCCTCCACATCCACCTATGTAGCCCAGGATCCTCGGGTGTACAAGCAGTTTCGAAACCCTTCAGGACCTGTTGTAGACCTGCCAGCGACTGGCCAGCTGGAGCCTTCAGTAACATACACCAGCCTGGGACAGGAGACAGAAGAGGAGCCTCATGTTAGAGTTGCTTAAACCCAGGGCTGTTGATCACCTACTGATGATTCAGTGGAGCTCGTATATCCACTATCTCTGTATTGTACATAGAGAAAGGTATTTACCAGGTGCAGTTACACTGGTGAGCTGCAAGGTAGCAAATAAGGAAAGCTCATAAAATACAAATTGCTTGTTCCAGAGTGTTCATTGCAAGGAGATGCCAGTCCCTCATTTACGATATGAGCAGCATGTTTGCAATACAAACTGCTGTATATGAATCAGTTAATGTCAAACTACCTGTGAAAGATATTTAATATCTAAGATGAAATTACATAAAGTTCACAGAAGGGTGTTTCTGCACCCACTGAGCGATATTATGTCTAAGCCACACCAGTTGTGGAAAAGCCGCCTTTTTACAGAAAATGCACTTGTGCAGTCCACTGTTAATTTCTCTCTAAGAGTTGTTTGCACAAAGTAGATGGGTTAGTCATGGTAGCAACAGCCTGACACACTTTTACTAGCTCCTTGGATCTGGTGAAGGAAAGACAATTAATTCATCTGTAGTATCTGTCTAGTTGCCCTTTCTAGGTAATCTGTTCCATGAATCCAGAGAAGGGACAACTTACAATATCCATCTCTATTCTAGGAATAGGTACAAGGCGAGCATTTTAGCCTTTCTATATTTGCAGAAGTGAAGTACTCAAGCATTGACCTCTCTGTGATCCATGGCAGATTTCCTAGCAGCTGAGGTTCTGCATGAGGTGACGGAGAGTTAGTTTCTCTGTAGTCGTGACTTAACACGGATTTCTTACTTTTTAAACTTTAATCTGTAAAGAGAAAAACATTTTCTAGTTTCCTATGTATTGTACCTCTCCATGGTAAGATGACAAACCATGTGGATCAGGGCACTCATTTTAGATACTCAGTGCATTGAGGGCGCCTTCTGCTGTTCCAGTTTGCTGAATCTCCTGTGGTTCACTATTCCAACAATAGCTATTTAGAAATGTGTCTGCTTTTTTTTACCAAAACCCACAAATTGTAAAAATCAGGAAGATTAAGCAAGGAATTCATAAGCAGAAAGTGTGGACCATCTGCTGGTGTTGCACCAGTACCACGAAGGCAGTCATACCAGCAGGGTGCAGCCAGTTATTTTTCACCAAGTACAAAACTAGCAGAAGAATTCAGCAGTTTACTTACATTCCTGGGGACATGTGAAAATAGTAATGGTGTGCTCCACAACTGTACTTCTACCCCAAGAGCCTTATCAGAATGGGGGATATCAGTCACCACCACAAAGAAGCCATCTCTGCATGTATCTTTGCTCTTCTGAGAGCTCAATAAAAGGAAATTATTATTTCAATATCCATCATTTATTTGCAATTTAAAATTAAGGAAGGAAGGGAAGGTGATCTTAGGTCTAACACATAGGAGGGGGATCCAGGAGAGCTCGGTTTTGTTCACAGATCTGCCACATCTCTGCATGATCCTTGGACGTGACTTACCTTCTGTGTGGCTGTTTCCCAATCTCTATAGATGGGAATAATCATATTTTACCTACCTCACAGGGGTGCTATGGGACCAAGTTATTTTAAGCTGCTTCAGGATCTTCAGAAGGAAGGAGTTTAAGTACACAATAGCACGGTAAAAGTGTGTATACATTCATTGTATTTGAAAATTGAGTTTATGACGGGGTTGATGAATATTTAGCTTATGGGCATAGAAGATGAATTTGATTTGAATGCTATTCTGCTGAAGAAGCCTGTCTCAAGTGAAAATGTAGGGCTTCATGTTTGAAAAATACAACTTACCTGTTTCTGTTTTGAAAAGAAAATCAATCTGTACTCTGGAGATTAGAAAGGCCACACAGTTCAACCAAGCAGGATGAATTTCTGCTGAGGTAACATTCATCTTTTATAGTCCTGTTCTGCTTTAATATAGAGGGTACTAGAGACTAGAAGTATGTATGCATAATATACAAGAAGTGGCAAAAGCCAGAATGCTATTGAACAGCAGAAGTATGTTGTATTTTATTCTCGCTGTGGAGGAGAAGAGATTTCCCTCCCACTGTGTTTAGGCTGCCTGACACCATCCTGCTGCAGCTGAGGGAAGGGTCTGCACCATTCCCAAACTGTGCCCAAAACTGACCCAAAAGCTTCAGTTAAGATGGCTTGGATTTAAACAAATACATGATTTTTTTCCACCCAACCTTCTGTTTAGTTAATCTTTTTAGCACTGATGTTTCCAAGCTTTTTTCTCTTAAATCATGGAGGATTCAAATCAAAAAAAGCTTCCTACAGAGAAACAAAAGTCCGTGTTCTGGGGATGTTAAGGAAAGCTTAAATCCTACAGGATTTAAAAAAAAATGAAAAACATACGAGAAACATTAAGGTCCGTAGGGTGAAGTCCAGGTGGGAAGTGCATAGTGAGGTGAAGCCCTGATGCACAGGGACCAGCAAGCATCCTCCAGTCAAGCCCTGGCAGAGATTTGACTTGGTGGGTTTTGCACATTTCCCAGGAGCAGGGATTCTGGTTGCAACCACTATGGCTCCCTCAGGTACCCAGAACCACACTGATGGGAACCTGTCATTTCAGTCTTTTTTGCTACCTTTATACCAATTAAATACCTTTCTCTGAATGTTTGTCCCTGTGCTGGTCTGAGAACCTTGAGGATTGTGTGTGTGTATGTTTCATGTTTACAGTTCCTTCCTTTTGCATTATTGTTTTGGTTCATTCCATTATTAGTATTTATTTTTAAGCCAAATGTTTGTGGTCCTTCTGCCTCCCCCTCCTCATTTTTCTGACCCTAACTTGTAGATGTTTGTTAGAGTCTTCTCAGAAACAGCAGGGCAGGAGGCATCTGCCAACCAGGTCACTGGGCTGGGAGCTTCTACTTACAAGGGTCTGTGATCCACAAGTGGCTGAGAGGTGCCATCTGAAGCAATTTTTACAGGCTGTTTTCAAAGGCTCTGTTGTACGCAAAGAAGTTACAAATGATTCAGTGTGTACTCTGCACCCAGACAGCATCCCCTGTGATAGCCACGCAGGAGTCTGATGTGCAAAGTGGGGCTGCTACACTGTCTGTGTCTGCTGTTGAACAAGGTGGATACTTGGGTTAGCACCAGTGTGCTCATGCTGGATGAACTGTAAAAGGAAAACAGTAGTAGAGCTTTACCAGTGACTGTGTTGACTGAAAAACTGAGGTCTAGTAAAGGAAAGCGTTACTTCTACCTGCTTGTTTTCTGCAGTTCAAGACCTCAGTGTGCACCAGCAAAGGTTCTGCTATCTAACCGGCAGCTATCTACTCTCTGTGTCACGTAGGACGTCTCTATCTCTGTATAGCTCCTTGCCTGAACAAACTGAAACTCTTGTTATACTGCTGGCCTTGAGCAGCCCTTGTCAAGACTGATGTAATTTTCTGCTACTGGATGAAAACCTTCACTGGGAGACAGACCTTGTCTTTGTTCCAGCTATAAGGTTTTGAAACACACAACGATAGACCAAGCAATTGAAGATTTTGCACCACTGTGTCATAAGAAGTTTCAATGTATAGTGTAGAGATTGCTAACTTGTGCTATTAACACTTTGACAAGCGTGTAGTAACGTTTTCTTTCCTTTTTTTTTTTAACCGTTTAGTATTCCTGAGCTAGCTACAAATACAAATTTTACCCCATGGGTAGGATTTTATTGTTAAATGCCATAATAAAGCACACTAATCTTGACAACGCAGATGGAAATATGAACCAAAACCAAAACTGAGCAAACAGAATCCCAACCCCAAATCCTGCATCAAAAAGCTGAACAAACCTTTCTCCATTTTGATATTTGCATGCACCTATATGGACTGGCTGTGGCAATGTAATGCCTGTATAATGTTTTCAAATAAAAAAAAAATAAATGCTTTATGAAAGCAGGGTTATTTGTTTCCTTGCCTGTTTCCTTTGTTTTTTCTTAGCCTGAAACTATTTTTCTGATGGTAAATCTTACTGCAGGACATCATTTTTTGCTCTGTTGAGGATTTCTTTTTGTTGTGATGTGGTTTACCTACAACTCCATCCGAGATGTCTTGGCATTGGTGCCATTAGGCACAGTCAGGTATCTTGCGTGGCCCCCAGTTGCTGTTCCAGAAGGATAAGGGGTTACTTGTGCATCCGCTTGTAAACTGCCATTCCCCTATGTCTAGCTCAGGTATCCTGATATTTGTTGGTCTCATTTGGACACAAAAGCACTCCCCCCCACTGCTTTACAGAAATGATCAATCAATCTAGGATTAACGTGGGGCAATGCGTGTGTATGGTGTTAAAGGGCTTCCTGGCAAAGGTTACTGAGTGTCTACGGCTGCCTTGTCCAGCCCTCCCTTCTGGCTGCCCTGCACTGCACTGCAGCACTCTTCCCAGCAGAGTCCTGAAACAGAGACAAAACTTAGAAACTGGGGGGAGAGGATTGTCAGGAGGAGCAGAATTGAGGAAAGGAAGAAAATGAGACTTTGGCTCATTTGAGTCCAGATGGGAAGAAAGGAAAAGAAGATCCTAAGTGTGAGAGCAAGGGATTTTGTGAACATGCACTCACCTCTAAGGGTGTTTGCCAGCACACGCATTTGTCCATCTCTCCTTGCCTGATGTCTCTGCAAGAAACTTCTCATTGGTATTTCTCACATACTTCATTGCTGAGAGTAAAAAAAGGGAACAGAGACCGGTGAGCTCATTTCCAGCCTTCCCCTGCACTGTAATTGCATGCAGCCCCTGACAATACAAAGCCAGCACTGCTGCAGAAATGGGCTGGGTTATGTCTGATTTTCCAATGAGAATGTTTCCTAAGCTATCA